CATTCCCCTCAATTTGAATGCAATGGTGAAGGACGTACAAATTGCTTCTGAATGGTCGGCAGGTAGAAATTTGGCAATGCCTTAATTTGTTATGATGTATGCCTATTGATTTTAAGAAAAGTCATACGCTGCAAAGAAAACCAAGCGAGAAGCCACCTTGTCCGGGACGAAATGAAGATCAATTTCGATGTGTTTTGTAAGCTGATGTTGAATGAGATTAATAGACATGTATAAAGCACTAATATTACTACAATAAATCATTGTCGGAGCGGGAACCTGAACGCATAACCCCAACACTACTGCAGGAATCGGATATTCAGACTGAAATATCGGTCCGGATATATTAAAAATCGGTTTGAATATATATATCCGGATCGATCTTGGTCCCTATAGTTGATCTGAAAAAACTTGGTACGAAAAAATATAATATACAGACCGACATGAAATCGGTCCGTATATTTCAGTATGAAATATAAATGGTTATTTAAAAATTGAAATAAGCGGACCGAAATTGGTCCCAAAAAAATAATATAATAAAATAATAAAATATGTTCGAACCGAAAACAGTCTGAAAATGTGGGGGAAAGAGGCATAGCAAATATATACGGACCGGGATCGGTCCGAATATAGAGGACCCAGCAGAAACTTTTAAAACTTGCAACTATATCCAGACCGTTTTTGGTCCGAATATTGTGGACTTGCTTGTAACTTTTAAAAGTTCCATCTCCAACCGACGCCATTTTCAAACTATATCCAGACCGTTTTCGGTCCGAATATGGTGGACTTGCTTGTAACTTTTAAAAGTTCTAGCTTCAACCGGCGCCATTCTCAAACTATATCCAGACCGTTTTCGGTCCGAATATTGTGGACTTGTTTGTAACTTTTAAAAGTTCCAGCTCCAACAGATACCATTCTCAAACTATATCTAGACCGTTTTCGGTCCGAATATTATGGACTTGCTTGTAACTTTTAAAAGTTCCAGCTCCAACCGGTGAAATTCTCAAACTATATCCAGACCGTTTTCGGTCCGTAAATATATTTAAGAAAAAAAAACAATAAAAAATAAATGCATTTATAAAAAATAAAATATGATTATAATAAT